ATGTTTCGTGAGGTGTCTCGCGGAATGTTTCGTGAGGTGTCTCGTGGGATGTTTCGTGAGGTGTATCGTGGGATGTTTCGTGAGGTGTTGCCCCGTTGGGTATCGTGAAAACGTGCCCATGCTCCACATGTCTATATCCCTTTCCGGGTTCGTGGGTCCATCATGTTTTTCTATGTAAACATGTCCCCGGTGCCCAACTTGAAGGAGGCCGGCGAATTTTTTCCCTGATAAATACCGAGGTCGAAGGAGGCCGGCGAATTAAAATTTGAGGATATCTCAGGCGAAACGCTTGTTTTTGAAATCCCGATCGATAAATCACAGGGTGCGGGCCACTTCTTCGTGCGTTGAGGATGTCTCGAGCGAAACGCTTGCTCCGCAGAGTTTGCCGAGGATGTCTCGAGCGAAACGCTTGTTTTGTAGAACTTGAGGGATCTGGGCACCCCAGCACCACCACACCCCAGCACGACCCCACCCCAGCACGACCCCACCCCAGGACGACCAAACCCCCGCACGACCACACCCCAGCATTACCCCACCCCAGCACGACCCCACCCCAGCAAGACCATCACCCAGCACGACCACACCCCAGCACGACCTCACCACAGCACGACCACACCCCAGCACGACCACGCCCCAGCACGACCACGCCCCAGCACGACCACGCCCCAGCACGACCACCCCCCAGCACGACTACCCCCCCAGCACGACCAACCCCCTAGCACGACCACCCCCCAGCACGACCACACCCCAGCACGACCATCACCCAGCACGACCACACCCCAGCACGACCTCACCACAGCACGACCACACCCCAGCACGACCACGCCCCAGCACGACCACGCCCCAGCACGACCACACCCCAGCACGACCACACCCCAGCACGACCACACCCCAGCACGACCACACCCCAACACGACCACACCCCACCACGATCACACCCCACCACGACCACACCCCAGCACGACCCGATCGATGAATTGCGGACCACCCCAGCACGACCACACCCCAGCACGACCCCACCCCAGCACGACCACACCCCAGCACGACCCCACCCAGCAACGCCCCACCCCCAGCACGATCCAACATCCCAGCACGACAACACCCCAGCACGACCACACCCCGCAGACACAACCCTAGACGATCCCACCCCAGCACGACCCCCACCCCAAGCACGACCACCCCCCAGGAACGACCCCACCCAGCCGACCCCACCCCAAGCCACGACCACACCCCAGCACGACCTCTCCACAGCACGACCCCACCCCAGCACGACCACGCCCCAGCACGACCACGCCACCAGCACGACACGCCCCGCACGACACACCCCCAGCACGACCACCCCCACCAGCACGACCACCCGACCACCCCCCAGCACGACCACCCCCCAGCACGACCACACCTCAGCACGACCCCACCCCAGCACGACCACACCCCAGCACGACCACACCCCAGCACGACCACACCCAGTCGCACCCCTGTGGAATGTTTCGTGGGGTGTCTGGTTGAGTGGTTACCTGTTCGTGGGGTTTCTCGTGGAATGTTTCACGGGGTGTCTCGTGGAATGTTTAGTGAGGTGTCTCGTGGAATGTTTCGTGAGGTGTCTCGTGGGATGTTTCGCGGCATGTCTCGTGGGATGTTTCGTGTGGTGTCGCCCAGTTGGATATCGTGAAAACGTGATTATGCTGCACATGTCTATATCCCTTTCCGGGTTCGTGGGTCCATCATGTTTTCAAAGTGCGTGTCTATTTTTCCCGGAAAGGGCGCGGGCCCAGGGTTCTCTTTTAGTAGGTTAACCCCCCGGCCCCCCTGCGACTTGGGCCGGCGAAGTTATTATGCGATGAATTACGTGCGGGAGTAGGGCCGGCGGAATTATTTTTGAGGATGTCCCTAGCGAAACGCTTGTTTTTCAGAATTTGCTGAGGATGTCTCTCGAGCGGAACGCTGGTTTTGCAGAGTTGGGGATGTCTCGAGCGAAACGCTTGTTTTCAGAATTTGTTGAGGATGTCTCGAGCGAAACGCTGGTTTTGCAGAGCCGACCGCGACACAGAAAAGCGCCCCGCGCGCAGGAATTCCGATGATGTCTCGCGCGTGCCGCGTACCGCGAGCAGGAATTTCGAGGATGTCTCGACTAATTCGTTTGTTTTGCTAGGATTTCCTTGAATTTTGGCAGGATGTCTCGAGCGAAATGCTTGTCTTTCATAATTTGTTGAATACGTTTCGAGCGAAACGCTGGTTTTGCAAAATTGGGGGATGTCTCGAGCAGGGGCCTCGTGGGGGGCCTCGTGGGGGTCCAGAATTCAGAGGGTGTCTCAGGCGAAATGCTTGTTTTCACGTCCCGCTCGCAAGAATTCCGAGGATGTCTCGCGCGTGCCGCGTCCCGCGCGCAGGAATTCTGAGGATGTTGGCAGGATGTCTCGAGCGAAACGCTTGTCCCCAGCACGTTCCGTAGCGCGTCCCCTTGGCACGTCCCGGGGTGCGTCCCCATGGCACGTCCCTTGGCACGTCGCTTGGCGGGTCCCTTGAGACGTTCCGCGTCGCGTCCTCCTGGCATGCCCCCCTGTCCATTAGCTCTGGGGCAGCTACTATGTGTTCACGCAGCTCGAGCTTAAGATCCAGATCAGTTCGGTCAGGACTCGGATGCAAAGGAGGACTCGATCCACGAGGCTATAGAGCACAATCGCGGCATGGCACATCGCAATTCAGCACGGCGCAGCACAGCACAGATTTCGGCACGGTACATCAAGATCGATACACTCAGCATTGCAACTTGGCACGTTCCGTGGCGCGTCCCTTTGCGAGTCTCCCTGGCATGTCGCGTGGCGCATACCCTGGCGCATCCCGTGGCACATCCATTGGCACGTTCCGTAGCGCGTCCCTTTGGCACGTCCCGCGGTGCGACCCCATGGTATGTCCCCTGGCACGTCGCCTGGCGCATCCCTTGGGACGTTTCGCGGCGCGTCCTCCTGACATGCTCCCCTGTCTATCAGCTCTGGGGCAGCTACTATGTGTTCAGGCAGCTCGAGCTTAAGATCGAGATCAGTTCGGTCAGGACTCGGATGCAAAGGAGGACTCGATCCACGAGGCTATAGAGCACAATCGCGGCATGGCACATCGCAATTCAGCACGGTGCAGCACAGCACAGTCCTCGGCAGGGTACATCGAGATCGATACATTCAGCATTGCATTTGCCCGTCACCCAATCAGGTGTCTTTGAAAACGCTGCCATGTGTTACAGTTCTATATTCCTTTCCGGGTTCGTGGGTCGATCATGTTCCCCAGAATACCGTTTGTTCAACAAGATGTGGTGGCGCCCAATTTCGAATTTCCGAAGACGGTCCAAGAGGGCCCCGAGTCGCCGAACGATCGGTCCAAGACGCCCAAGATGGCATCCAGACGGCCCAATGCGGCCTCCAAGACGCCCCAAGGCCTGCGGCAGCACTCCAAACCCAGTTATTTCACGTAAGTGTTGAAGGATTTGAGCGTTCTCGCTTCTTCGGCTTACGCTCCAAGACGGCCCATGAGGCCCAAAGATCGCCCCAAGACGGCCCAAGAAGCATCCAAGAGGGCCCCAAAACAGCCCAAGAGGGCCCCAGCAGCAATAGCTTTGCTGTTGCTGCTGTTGCATTGCCTTTGCGTTGCTGCTATGCTATGCTATGCTATGCCATGCTGCACTATGCTATGCTATGCTATGCTATGCTATGCTATGCTATGATATGCTGCGCTATGCTATGCTACGCTAGGCTGCGCTATGTTATGCTAGGCTATGGTATGCTATGCTATGCTGCGCTATGCCATGCTATGCTGTGCTATGCTGCGCTATGCTATGCTGTGCTATGCCACGTTATGCTGCGCTGTGCTATGCTATGCTGGGCTCTGCTATGATATGCTAAGCTAAGCTAAGCTACAGCTACGCGAAGCTAAGATGAAGCTAAGCTAAGCTCAGCTAAGCTAAGATGAGATAAGCAACGCTAAGCTAAGGGGGCGCACCTGGGGGAACCGCGGGGCAAGGACTGGGGGAACCGCCCGGGGCGTTTTCCACTGCCCGGCCCTTTTAAGCAAACAAAGTAAGAACCCTTCTAGGCAGAGCCTAGGTAGGGAAATACTCTACACAGCTACCCTTCTCTGCTCGACTCCATGTGCCCTACTCTGCTCTACCTGCTCAACTCTACCCTACCGTACCCTAGCATGGTCTAACCTACTCTGGTTTGCTCTCACTCTGCTATACTTTACTTCTTTTCTGCTCCTTCTCTCCCCTCTTGTACTCTGCCCTGCTCTACTCAACCCTAACTCTACCATTATGTACCCCAGCATCTTCTATCTTGCTCTATTCTGCTCTTGCTCCATTCTACTCCTACTCTACTCCTAATATGCTCTATTCAGCACTGCTCTGCTCGGCTAAATTTCCTTCCTTACTGAACCCCGGTTGCCGGGGCAGTATGTATATATATATATATATATATATATACATACATATATATATATATATGTATGTATATATATGTACTAGAACCATCGCGCACGCTTCGCGCGCGCTCAGGTTCAACCTCAGACCCGGGCAAGGTCTGAATGCCGGATTGTGCTGCTGGACAGCAGGGTGGCATGATGCTCGTGTGAGCGGCAGTCTGCTTTAGACAACCAAAAAACCGAAGGCCCCGAGCAACATCAGCCGCGGCATCACCAACACCATAAGCAATGGGGAAGACGCCCGAGACGACGGAGAATGAGGCCGAGGTGGGACCCGCCGAGTCAACCGGACGAGACGGGATGACGAAAAAGAGTCCCAACGGCCCTCGCGGGCGTGAGACGTCAAAGAAGCTCGTTCTGCAAACCCCCTCGTTCCTTTCGGGGCGGGGACCTTCCCCTACCGCCTACCCCTACGCCCTCCCCCTGGACGAGGGCGTGTGGCGGGCCGGTCGAGCGTCAAGGATGGCCCCAGAAGGTTCCAAGAAGGCCCCCAGGAGCCCAAAGCCTCAAAGAAATTGTCGCGTGGAGGACTGCGCCTCTCGTGCGCGAATTGTCGTGTGGAGGTGGGCCGCAGAATGGCAAATCCCTCTCGTACACGGATTGCCGCGTGGAGGATGGATGCAGAAACACAAAATCCTCCTCGTACGCCTTTGCGTCGCGTGGAGGAGGACTGCGCAGTGAAACAAAGCCTCTCGCACGCTGAATGCCGCGTGAAGGAGGGCTGCAGAAAGACGATATCCCTCTTGTACACGGATTGCCGCGTGGAGGAGGGGCGCAAAGAGACATACTCCCCCTCGTGCACCTTTTTGTCGCGTGGAGGAGAACTGCGCAGTGTAAAGAAGCCTTTTTTCCCGGAAAGGGCGCGGGCCCAGGGTTCTCTTTTAGCCGTTTACCCCCGGATCTGACGGGTCAAGCGCCGGCGAAATTATTTGCGATAAATAACGAGGTAAAGTGCTGATTTTTTAGAAAAAGTGCGTTTTGTGCGTGCCCGCTCGAGGAAAGTTCGCCCCCCATCTCGGATCCTCGATAAATAACGGGGTCCGCAGACCCCCGCTTTCCCTCGTAAAAAAGAGGGTGCGGAGCGTTTTTCGCAGAATCCTCGAAAAATAACGGGGTCTGGAGCCCCGACCGCGACTCGGAAAAGCGCCCCGCGCGCAGGAATTCCGAGGATGTCTCGCGCGTGCCGCATCCCGCGCGCAGGAATTTCGAGGATGTCTCGACTAATTCGCTTGTTTTGTCAGGATTTCTTAGAACTTTGGCAGGATGTCTCGAGCGAAACGCTTATTTTACATAGTTTGTGGAGGATGTCTCGAGCGAAACGCTGGTTTCCGCAAAATTTGGAGATGTCTCGAGCGGGGGGCCAGAATTCAGAGGATGTCTCAGGCGAAATGCTTGTTTTAGTGTCCCGCTCGCGGGAATTCCAAGGATGTCTCGCGCGGGCCGCGTCCCGCGCGCAGGAATTTCGAGGATGTCTCGACTAATTCGTTTGTTTTGTCAGGATTTCTTAGAATTTTGACCGGATGTCTCGAGCGAAACGCTTGTTTTTTCATAATTTGTTGAGGATGTCTCGAGCGAAACGCTGGTTTCTGCAAACTTGGGGATGTCTCGAGCGGGGGCCTCGTGGGGGGCCAGAATTCAGAGGATGTCTCAGGCGAAATGCTTGTTTTCACGTCCCGCTCGCAGGAAGTCGGAAGATGTCTCGCGCGTGCCACGTCCCGCGCGCAGGAATTTTGAGGATGTCCCGTAGCGCGTCCCCTTGGCACGGCCTACGGTGCGACCCCATGGCACGTCCCTTGGCACGTCGCCTGGCGCGTCCCTGGGGACGTTTCGCGGCGCGTCCTCCTGGCATGTCCCCCTGTCAATTAGCTCGGGGGCAGCTGCTATGTGTTCAGGAAGCTCGAGCTTCAGATCCAGATCAGTTCGGTCAGGACTTGGATGCAAAGGAAGACTCGCGCGCAGGAATTCCGAGGATGTCTCGCGCGTGCCGCGTCCAGCGCGCAGGAATTTCGAGGATGTCTCGTCTAATTCGCTAGGTTTTGCAGGATTTTCCGTAGGAGGGCCAAGGAGAGGCCCCGAAGGCTCTGGGAGCGGCGACGACGACGACGACGACGACGACGACGACGACGACGTCTCTTGGGGTTCTCTTGGTCGGTTTGTAGAGTCCACGCTTACATGATCGACGGGTCGAGGACAGCGCGACGACGACGACGTCGCGGTGGCGGCGGCGTCCACCACGACGACAAAGTCTCATCTTAGAGCCTTGCGTGGGGGGGTCTCTTGGGGTTCTCTTGGAGGGTCTCTGGAGGGTCTGTAGAGCCCACGCTTACACGATCGAGGGAACGAGGACAGCGCGACGACGACGACGACGTCGCGGTGGCGGCGGCGGCGACGACGACGACGACAAAGTCTCATCTTAGAGCCTTGCGTGGGGGGTTCTCTTGGGGTTCTCTTGGAGGGTCTCTTGACGGTTTGTAGAGCCCACGCTTACACGATCGAGGGATCGAGGACAGCGCGAAGATGACGACCACGTCGCGGTGGCGGCGGCGGCGACGACGACGACAAAGTCTCATCTTAGAGCCTCTCGTGGGGGGGTCTCCGGGGGTTCTCTGGGAGGGTCTCTTGGGGGTCTGCAGAGCCCACGCTTACACGATCGTGGGCTCGAGGACAGCGCGACGACGACGACGACGTCGCGGTGGCGGCGGCGGCGGCGATGACGACGACAAAGTCTCATCTTAGAGCCTTGCGTGGGGGGGTCTCTTGGGGTTCTCTTGGAGGGTCTCTTGAGGGTCTGTAGAGCCCACGCTTACACGATCGAGGGATCGAGGACAGGGCGGCGGCGGCGACGACGACGACAAAGTCTCATCGTAGAGCCTTGCGTGGGGGGTCTCTTGGAGGGTCTCTTGGGGGTCTGTAGAGCCCACGCGCGGTGGCGGCGGCGGCGACGACGACGACAAAGTCTCATCTTAGAGCCTTGCGTGGAGCGGTGTCTTGGGGTTCTCTGGGAGGGTCTCCTGGGGAGTCTGTAGAGCCCACGCTTTCACGATCGAGTGATCGAGGACAGCGCGACGACGACGACGACGTCGCGGTGGCGGCGGCGGCGACGACGACGACAAAGTCTCATCTTAGAGCCTTGCGTGGAGCGGTGTCTTGGGGTTCTCTGGGAGGGTCTCCTGGGGGGGCTGTAGAGCCCACGCTTTCACGATCGAGTGATCGAGGACAGCGCGACGACGACGACGACGTCGCGGTGGCGGCGGCGACGACGACGACGACAAAGTCTCATCTTAGAGCCTCTCGTGGGGGGTTCTCCGGGGGTTCTCTGGGAGGGTCTCTTGGGGGTCTGCAGAGCCCACGCTTACACGATCGAGGGCTCGAGGACAGCGCGACGACGACGACGACGTCGCGGTGGCGGCGGCGGCGGCGAAGACGACGACAAAGTCTCATCTTAGAGCCTTGCGTGGGGGGGTCTCTTGGGGTTCTCTTGGAGGGTCTCTTGAGGGTCTGTAGAGCCCACGCTTACACGATCGAGGGATCGAGGACAGGGCGGCGGCGGCGACGACGACGACAAAGTCTCATCTAAGAGCCTTGCGTGGGGGGTCTCTTGGAGGGTCTCTTGGGGGTCTGTAGAGCCCACGACGACGACGTCGCGGTGGCGGCGGCGGCGACGACGACGACAAAGTCTCATCTTAGAGCTTTGCGTGGAGCGGTGTCTTGGGGTTCTCTTGGAGGGTCTCTTGGGGGTCTGTAGAGCCCACGCTTTCACGATCCGACGACGTCGCGGTGGCGGCGGCGGCGACGACGACGACAAAGTCTCATCTTAGAGCCTTGCGTGGGGTGTCTCGGGGTTCTCTTGGAGGGTGTCTTGGGGGTCTGTAGAGCCCACGCTTTCACGATCGAGTGATCGAGGACAGCGCGACGACGACGACGACGACGTCGCGGTGGCGGCGGCGGCGACGACGACGACAAAGTCTCATCTTAGAGCCTTGCGTGGGGGGGTCTCCGGGGGTTCTCTTGGAGGGTCTCGTGGGGGTCTGTAGAGCCCACGCTTACACGATCGAGGGATCGAGGACAGCGCGACGACGACGACGTCGCGGTGGCGGCGGCGGCGACGACGACGACGATCCAGCGTAATCCAGGCCCCCAGCGAATCCGTGTGGTCTTACGTATGTGCCTATAGATTAGGCTTCCCAGGTCCACACGGCCCCCAAAGAGTTCCCTCAGGGCCCCCAAAGAGCTCCAAGACGGTCCGAGAGGGCCTTGGGATCGCCCGAGGCAGCATGCAGCACTACCGACGGTACGGCAGCAGCGACGACCGTGCCTTGCGCTTGTGGGACATCTGTTTACTCGGGTACACACGATACCTGCGACGCCAGCTCCAACACGTGCGTTCAGGCGAGTTCTGTTAGATGCATGGGAGGAGGAGGAGGACGCAGAAGAGGAGGAGGAGGAGGAGGAAGACACGTGTCAAGTCCTGCATTCGAGCTGCGCCTTCTTCCCGACATGTTGTTCCCGGAAAGGGCGCGGGCCCAGGGTTCTCTTTTAGCCGTTTACCCCCGGATCTGACGGGTCAAGCGCCGGCGAAATTATTTGCGATAAATAACGAGGTAAAGTGCTGATTTTCCCGGAAAGGGCGCGGGCCCAGGGTTCTCTTTTAGCCGTTTACCCCCGGATCTGACGGGTCAAGCGCCGGCGAAATTATTTGCGATAAATAACGAGGTAAAGTGTTGATTTTTTTAGAAAAAATGCGTTTTGTGCGTGCCCGCTCGAGGAAAGTTCGCCCCCCATCTCGGATCCTCGATAAATAACGGGGTCCGCAGTCCCCCGCTTTCCCTCGTAAAAAAGAGGGTGCGGAGCGTTTTTCGCAGAATCCTCGAAAAATAACGGGGTCTGGAGCCCCGACCGCGACTCGGAAAAGCGCCCCGCGCGCAGGAATTCCGAGGATGTCTCGCGCGTGCCGCGTCCCGCGCGCAGGAATTTCGAGGATGTCTCGACTAATTCTCTTGTTTTGTCAGGATTTCTTAGAACTTTGGCAGGATGTCTCGAGCGAAACGCTTATTTTACATAGTTTGTGGAGGATGTCTCGAGCGAAACGCTGGTTTTCGCAAAATTTGGAGATGTCTCGAGCGGGGGGCCAGAATTCAGAGGATGTCTCAGGCGAAATGCTTGATTTCGTGTCCCGCTCGCGGGAATACCAAGGATGTCTCGCGCGGGCCGCGTCCCGCGCGCAGGAATTTCGAGGATGTCTCGACTAATTAGTTTGTTTTGTCAGGATTTCTTAGAATTTTGACCGGATGTCTCGAGCGAAACGCTTGTTTTTCATAATTTGTTGAGGATGTCTCGAGCGAAACGCTGGTTTCTGCAAACTTGGGGATGTCTCGAGCGGGGGCCTCTTGGGGGGCCAGAATTCAGAGGATGTCTCAGGCGAAATGCTTGTTTTCACGTCCCGCTCGCAGGAATTCGGAAGATGTCTCGCGCGTGCCACGTCCCGCGCGCAGGATTCTTTGGATTTTCACAGGATGTCTCGAGCGAAACGCTTGTTTTTTTACAGAATTTGTTGAGGATGTCTCGACTGATTCGCTTGTTTTGCCAGGAATTCTTCGGATTTTGACAGAATGTCTCGAGCGAGACGCTTGTTTTTCCCGGAAAGGGCGCGGGCCCAGGGTTCTCTTTTAGCCGTTTACCCCCGGATCTGACGGGTCAAGCGCCGGCGAAATTATTTGCGATAAATAACGAGGTAAAGTGCTGATTTTTTTAGAAAAAGTGCGTTTTGTGCGTGCCCGCTCGAGGACAGTTCGCCCCCCATCTCGGATC